AGACTACCGAACATGTATAAAGTATGAAGTACCTTATAAATTAAATTAAATTAAAGGGTAAAGACTGATCTTCATGTTTCATCCCAATATTACTGAGATTTAAAGCATATTAAAAGTGCATTTCAATATATATATATATATATATATATATATGTATACTTCATTTAGTTTAGGTCTAGTTATGATTCAATAGGATTCGGAACATGATTGCACTAGGGTTTTTCAAAAAGGTTCCTGAAAAGCTTCACTTTATCAATTTGTGTCTCTTTCAGTTAATCGATCTTCTATTAGGGTACGCTGATTCTCATTATCTAGTCATATTCGGTTGACGCGCAGGACATGTTCTTGAAGAAGAAATATACTTAAATTGTTCGGAAACGTGTTACACGCTGTTTTATTCAACCGTTGCTAACTTCCCAGTGGCGGAATTTCACGAGAAATGAGATAAAAACTAATTTCTATTAGTTGGTTCAGAGTGATTATTTTTTGCTGTAATTTATTTGACCATTCGACAAAATTCAATTAATTTCTTATTTTCTCTTTTTTTCGTTAGTCTTTCATATTATTTTGCTAACTGTTCATTGTCGGATTTTGAAATGAATAGTTTGTTGACAGAATACTGCGTTGTTTTACCCCTAAACTATTGATTGCATTATTTTTTTATTCACTTAGCAAATTATTGAACCACTGCAAACAACAGTGGCCAAGGTAAATCTGTCTGCTTCAAGCGAAAAAGCATTATTTTAATGTTTTTCAGTGATATTTGCCCCTCACTATATTGCAGTCTACATTGGTTCATATTTTTGAATAATCTATTTGACATAAATTCAAAAAAGTTTTCTGATGCTATGCTCTTCCCAAATGCCTTCATTAGCAACTGTGTCACTACCTCTTGATAAAAAAGCAATGATTTGAAATAGCAAGAAAAATATTTCACATTTCCGTGTATTTATTAATTTTAGAGCAATCGAAAAGCCAATATAACGGTTACATAGGAAATTTAGGTACGCCTGCATTCTATTAAATTACCATCCTCCTTGTACAAACTTTTGGATCTATTAAATATTTCTTCTAGCGATAGCAGTGTAATTTCAATATTAAATCCAACATGATTAAGTCAAAAATATCGTACATCTTTCAGATAAGTTCGTTTTTTAATAAATTCAAAAATGATAGATGTTTTCTAAACGTCGACAATAATATCCATTACTGTCCTATTATCCTAATTGAATATACATCGTGATATAATTGATAAAACATACAGACATGTGATCATTGCACATTGCTTTTAGGAGTTATGAAACGAAAAGGTTCCATCAAACTGTAGTAATTAAATAACGAAGGAATATAAGAATTTACATGTTTCGGAGCTGGTAAACATTTAAATTGTTGATTTGCTGACATTGCTGACTTCACTGATTCAGTTAGCCATGAAATAAGGTAATGAAATAATCGCTTGATTGTAGCAATGCATGTAAAGATTAATATTGCTTAAATTTTTTGATTCATTTCTTAGTGATATCAACATACGATCACACACACCATGTATAACTATGACGGGTCCTTCTTGGTTTCATTTTCAGTCCATCACTTTCATCACTCACAGATACTATTCTCTACCGAATTGACCGAGTAGTCGCATTTTTACTTGTAATTATCGCTTGCTGAAATGTGAGATCTAATGGAACAGATGGGAAACAAATTCTATCTACTTCTTTTGGTGTAGTTATTATGACGTTTATCTTCCAATAGTGACTAACAGCTCTAATTTGGGTCCGATCCGTAGTGAGAGCTTGGCCCGAAATGAGGTTTTTTTGAAGTCCATTTTGAAATGTTTAAAATGCTTGAGATATTCAGAAATTTTGAATTAATGGTAGAATAAGTTTGCCATTTTTTCGCACTATGAAAATTTGAAAAAAAAGATGTATGCAATAAATTAAAAGATAAATGCTAAAACAAATTAAATTTTTTATTGATATTAATATAAGGCGAGGGAAAGGGGCAAGAAAGGAAAGGGGTCATAATAAATAATAAATTTAAGCTCCATCTAGCTGTAATATTAACTCTGTGAGAGCAATAGTAGAAACAAAACGTTCTAAAGTAGGGAAAAATAACCAATGCATAAACTTAGAAGCATCTTAAAAATTCATTATTTTCCTAAAATTTTATTTAAAAATTTACAACTGACGTGATTCAGGATTTGGTTTCATGTTGTGATGCAGTAGAAAGACAATAAAGACAACAGAAAATTAGTAAGCTTTGAAATTAACTAGAAAATTGGGAAAGGAGGAGAAAGACAATCTTGGTAGAAAGCTGCGTATCGGGAAGTTTCCATGGTAATAATAGTCTAACTAGCAACAAAAAAATTTTCGCTTTTTTGTCTCTGTTGAAGGAGCCGCTTTTACTCTTTCAATGGCTCAGCTTCTTCACGAAAAACATTTCTTTTCTGTGATGGCCCCCTGGTTGAGCTTTTTCTAACTTAATTGTAAACCAAAGTTGGTTGTCTGCTTTTTGCGTATCATTACTTCTCAAAGCGCATAGAAGTCATTAATTCACCTTTTTTTTTTCTTGGCTACGAAAACGTTACTGTAGTTTATTGCGAACTGCTATCAGCCTAATTAATTCTAGCTAAATCAAAAGTTTAGCGATTCTTGGGCGATTATGGTGTTCGCACCGTTTAGACCACGTTCCTCCACCGAGAAATCAGAGACAGTTAAAGTAGTCATTCGTTGTCGTCCATTATCCGCTTCTGAAATATCTAATGGTCATCAAAGGTACGTAATTACCAATTAGTTTGAAAAAAATAAACTAATTTACCTGATATTCTATAGCCTTGATGAATAAACTGAAGAATATACGTACAATTAAAATTTGTTTCTGAATACTATTCCTCCATATCAGTGATTTAATTCCTTACTGCTTTTTGATGCGAATTTCACTACTTTTAAGATCTTTCGCTTTTAGTACTTAGTTTCTATTAATTTTAGTATTGTTGATATTCAAACAAACCGTGGTGTAATTGAATTACACAACCCAAAAGAATCAAACGAACCTTCAAAAGTATTCACATTTGATTCAGTTTATGATCCACAGTAAGCATTTACTATGAAAATTTCCATAACACAATGTTTATTTAAAATTCAAAGTCCTTATAATGAATGCAAATCATCTCATAAGTTCTGGAGAGAAATATTAAGATCGAAAATGAAAAGATGGGTTTTTGCTTTCCAGCTTCTAAAAATTGCTCTCAATGAGATATTGAAAGATTGCTCCAAAAATTGCTCTCAATGAGATATCCTTCAAGTTTTTATAATACACTTTTAAGGTCTAAACAGCTCGATCTTTATGACGAAACATTTCGCCATCTTGTCGATTCTGTACTTGAAGGATTCAATGGAACGATTTTTGCATATGGTCAGACAGGAACGGGAAAAACATTTACAATGGAGGGTAGATTTTCTTGAAACTTGCAACATAATTACTATTAGTTGGAACAGACTTCCTGAATATTCTAGTAATATGTTGAACGCCTTGAAAAGTAGGAATGTAATAAAGGGATGCTAATACAATATACTCCAAGTTTTTTTTTTCTTATGAAAATATCAAGCTAGGCAGTCAATGTTCTACGCTCCAACAAAATACTGTATATGACTATTGGATAATATATATATGTATATATATATATATAAAACAGTAGTCCCTTTATTCTGTCTCGCACACAAACTTAGCGCTGTGCCATTATATCTATCGTATCAGAGTAGTTGGTTGCTTTAGTTAATTGGGGACTGAAATATTTTTATTCAAAATGTCACAGAAAAAAAATGTGCAATATCTATTCTCGTTTAGATCTGATTTTACATGTGCTTTGCTTAGGTGTTCCTGAGGATCCTGAATTACGTGGCGTCATACCGAACGCATACCATCATATTTTCCAGCATATAGCGCAGTCACGGAATCAGCAATACCTCGTGCGAGCAAGCTATTTAGAAATTTATCAGGTTTTTAGCATTTCTCTTCATTTATTTTTCGAACATTTCTGCAGCGAGAATCTTTTATTAAATAAATAACTTGTACAGTAATTCCAAAAGACTGACTGAGTGCAGTCATCTCCTAGCAAACTGTATTTACTTTAAAAATAATGGCCATGAAGAATTTTAACGCACATATGCTTATTTCGTAAATTATATTAAAAAATTAATGGTATTAGTCAGAAATAACAGAGGATTATACTAGATAAAGATTTAATCAGTTATCTTTCTTTTATTTTTAAATTTTAGGAAGAAATTCGTGACTTATTGAGCAGAGATCCGAAAATACGTTTAGAATTACGGGAGCGTCCGGATGTTGGTGTTTATGTAAAAGATCTTTCATCATTTGTAACAAAATCTGTGGAAGAAATTGAACATGTTATGGCTGTTGGCCATGCAAATCGTACGGTCGGGTTCGTATAGCACTTTTTTTTCCTTCGACACATTTTGTACGGAAGTAAGAAGTGCGTTTTAATTTGGATGTCATCATATTGAAAGTGATACATTTATGTTGTTCTCTTTTAGAAAATGAGAAAGGAAATATTCCGTTGCGCTTCATTTCACACTTAACTGAAATGTTCAATTTTCAGGAGAACAAACATGAACGAACATAGTAGCCGTTCACATGCAATTTTCATAGTAACTGTTGAATGCAGTGAATCTGGTTTGGATGGTCAGAATCACATAAGGTGAATAGTTGAATTTTGAATTGTGCATGGAAAAGATGGACACAGCATTATGGAAGCTTGTATATAACTAGCAAGGAGTCCTTTTTTTAGAGTTGGGCGATTAAATCTTGTAGACTTGGCAGGCAGTGAGCGTCAGTCAAAAACGGGATCGCATGGCAAGCGCTTCAAGGAAGCAACAAAAATCAACTTGTCTCTTTCTGCTCTTGGCAATGTCATATCAGCACTGATTGATGGAAAAAGTACTCATGTGCCATACAGAGATTCGAAACTAACACGTTTGTTGCAAGGTAACTTAGTTATTTTAATATGTTAAAATGATTCTATCATGATGAAAATCATCACAATCGTTGGAGTGCCAAAAAATAGCGCTGTTGAAATAAATGCAATTGTTTGAAGCTTTTTATATATACATATATATGAATGCAATTGTTTGAAGCTTTTTATATATACATATATGTGCAATCAGGTTACAGATTATGTTGGTAACAGTCAATTCCGTTAATATGAATCACGTTTGTAAAGAATTGCCTTCAGATTCATTAGGTGGTAATTCGCGAACTGTGATGGTTGCTAATATTGGGCCGGCATCATACAATTACGAGGAAACTTTGTCAACCTTGAGATATGCAAATCGTGCTAAAAAAATCAATAATCAGCCGAGGATTAACGAAGATCCCAAAGATGCACTTCTTCGCGAATTTCAGGTTTTTCTTAGTATCACACTACATTCTTGTGCACTAATACTTCAGGAAAATATTGTATTGCTAAATTACGGTCTTTGAATTGTCTTTAGTTTTATTTCCCAGTTTTATTAATTTCATTTAATTCTTAGTATAGCAACGTATTCTGTTAAGGATGAGATTGCAAGGCTTCGAGAAATTTTGGAAAAACGCGTTGTTAAAAAGGAAAAGAAGGTATATGTGGGCAGAAAGAACAAAAGTGATGATGAAGGTTGGTAGAAAAATGCAAAATTTCCTTAGCAGATATTTTATTTAATGATAAGTCACATCTAAGGAGATAATTTTGCAGTTGTTCCAAGTGAAGAATATCTTAATGAACAACAGAGGCGTTTGGAAGATGAAAGACAATCAATTATCTCTAATTCGAACATTATTGCAGAGGTAACAATTAAGTTCTTTTACTTGCTGCTTAAGCATAACAACAATCATGCAATATAAACTGGATGCATTTTTTATTAGAAACAAAAGCTTAAATTATGGCTTTGAAGGAAAAGCGCAAAATACTTGCTGATCTGGAAGAAAGGGCTGAACAATTGGAAAGGGAGCGTGAAGCACAAATTGCTGTAGCTGCGAAGATTCGAGCCATGCAAAGTAAACTTCTTTCTGGTGATGGCAGTTTATTGGATAAAACTCGTGAACAGCAAAAATTGTTGGAACAGCGGAGAAGACAATTAGCTGAACAAAAGGTCTCAAATATTCACTTAGAGATAAGTTTATAGCAAGCTAATGAAATGATTTTGATCACTTGATTTATGAGTGTATGAATGTAATATTGTAAAAAATAAAAGATGTATTTAAGAGGAAGGAACGCGAAATTTTGCAACAGTTGGAAGCACAGGAAGATAATACAGCAGAAATACATGAAACATTCAGCAATTTGAGGCAAGAAGTTGAAATAAAAACAAGGAAGCTGAAAAAGTTATACTCCAAGCTTCAGCAGGTATGTTTTTTCCTTCTTAACCCATGGTTACGAGGTTTATTTAAGTCTTAGAGTGGAAATTGGGTTACTAAAGAATAAATCTAAAAATGAGTTGTTTAGGTTCGTTCGGAAATCAGTGACGCCTCGGCAAGTCATTCACAGGAAAGGCAAGACTTGGAAAACTCGGTTACGGAAATTAATAAAGAATTAAAACTCAAGTAAAGTTTTCAACTGATGTGTTAGCAATGAATCGTTTTATATATTGTGGATGAATGTTCTTTAATCATACTTTATTCAAACTAGAATTAAAATATTTGTGTTTTCGATGTCATTATCTCGTATAGGTTGCTGATTGTGGAAAATTTTGTGCCACAAGATGTTCGTGATCATTTACGCGAGCGAGCATATTGGGATGAAGATGAGGATACTTGGAAACTTTTGAAAGTTGGACAAAATCGCCCCAAAAGCACCATATCCGATGACTTATGTCGTTCAGGTGGTACTGATTCCGGGTTAGGCGTCAGTGATGTCTCGACTAACGTTGATTCTGTTGCTCAAGATCTTCTTAACAATCGACCGGTAAGAAAGGCATTTTTGCAAGTGGATATTACATGACTAAAAATATTTACTTGTAGCAAAAATTCAAAAAAAAAAAAGAAACAAGAAAGAATTCATTAATCAAATAATTCAGACATATATAAGTTGATTTCATTTTTTAACCTGGTTTTTTATTTTCACTGAAATGTCATCCAAGTTATATAGAATAGATGATGGCAGTTATAGGTATCAATACCTGGCATGAAACGACCTATATGTAACTATGAGCGAATGTGTTTGACAAGATTACGACAACAATTGAACACACAATCAAAATGTGATCAGTTAAGATCCACAAGTTTTCCAGACGAAACTGGCGCTATAATCTTGGAAGAAGTGAGTTTGTTGAAATATGCTTAGTTTTTCGAAAATTGCTAGCGAAATTACAGATTTTATTTGGAGTAAACTTTGCAAACAAATTGTAAACTTGGAATAATTTCTTTATTATCCTCATCATTTTATGGATGTTCGTAGGTTCTGCGATTTTGTGGTGAAAATGTATTAACGTTCACCTCACTGGAAAAACTAGAAAGGCGAACAAAATTATTTGAAACTTCAGAAGTCGAAGCTGATTTACAGGTATAATCGTTTTTGAAAACATATCATTCCATACAAAAAATATAAACATTTCTTTCGACTTTCTAGAAATTTCAGAACACTGTCAATCTTCCACTCTGTGACGAAGAGCAGGAACAAAATTTTATTGTTGATATTTCAAAAATTCCAGTGCTTCGAGATTCAAATCAAACCGGCCGATTTCCTATTTCAAATTGGTCGATGTCTAGAAATTCCTCACTGTCTAGGTTATTACTACTTTTTTTATTACTTTTAAAATATCCAACGTTGGTTACATGCCAACGGCTTGTGACACATCCTGCATTTTCAAAGAACAGTAAAATATGATTTAGGCATGTTGTAAACAGCAAGTCGTATGGGCAATGACTTATAAACAAGTTACATACCGAAAGAAGTGTTTTTCAAAATAATCATCAGTAGTTAACTCTAATCAAAGTACTCTTAAAATCTCTCATTTCTTTTCAGACTTTCATCAGGACATTCAAAAAATGTACGAGCCCGCAGCGCGCTTGGAAGAGTGATAACAACTTCCAATGGGGGCACACTCGTTTATCCCAAAGCTCGAAGTTTGGTAAAAGGAAAAGCCAATCAACCGTAGATTCAGAGATGTTATTCAAGCATGTGTCCCAACAAAACCACCTCGCACTTAATTTATTTGCTTTGAATTTTTTACGTCAGCAGTGTTCACTTGATTTATGCCAGTCTTCATTATCAACTCCTAGTGGGTCATGTATTCAAGAAGATTCTTCGTATGCTGCAAGCCATGCTATTATCTCAGGAACTTCCACTATTACCGTTAATACAGTTGCGAAATTTTTTATCTGTAATAATATACCGTATCAACATTGCAAATTGTCAACAGTAGTTGGAATCAATCACAATACTGACCATTTGGGTAGAAAAAGTAAGATTGGTTTTGAGGAAGGATCATCGTTTACACAACGCATCGCTACCAATAGCAACTTGCAATATCAGTATTTGAGCGAGAGGGTAACGGGAAGCTCCAGAAATAACCGATTGAATTTTGATGAAAATGATCACGTTGTACTGCAGAAGTTTAAAGATCAAGTATGGAATCCATATTTTAAGCAAATTTATGGGGATGCCAAGAATTGGATGACAATCAACCAAAGTGATACATCACGTCAAAGTTCCGTTTCTGTGACGCCTGTCTCTTGTTATGAAGGAAATAGTGTTGATGGAAAAAGTTATAGCAGCAGCAAAATTCCAGTAATGATCATGAGGTTTTCTTATTAATGTTAATCTTTGTAATTTTTTTCTCAAATCTTGCTTTCGCAGAAAGTGTCACTTATAATCTTTTACGGCCTTACATTAATTATTGACAAAATATAGATTAGAAAAAAGTTATGAACAATTATAATCTATAAATATTCTTATATATTATTTAATTATGATTTTATAAGTTCCAATTATTGCAGGTCGGAAACGATAGCACCGCAGTGTTTCCAATCTTCTAAAAACTGCAATTTGTTCACTCGGTCTTTTTCAACAGTTATAACGGGAAGTATGTCTTTTTAATGCAGAATAACATTTTTGTTAGAATACTAGAAATTTGAAATGTAGATATTTCGTCTATCTAAATCACTTGAAATTTTCGTCGAAAGAGCCTTCTGTGGATATTAAGTTTCATCCATTAAACAGAGATGAGGGAATGAAACGAAATGAGATTCCATGCTAACCTTCATTTTAGTCAGTGATCTAACGAATTCACTTATGATGGAAGGATCTTGTGAAAGATTAGCAAATGGTCTTAAAGAAACTCCCTTCAACATCTCGAAACAATTATTAGAGCGATGTGCATTCTGGAGACAACCAAGCATATCATCATCATACACGTCTAGGTGAATTGCTGTTCGGCTTTTCACCTTTACTATCATCGTGAAAGTGAGCAGAGGTGGTGGATAAGAGAAAACAAAACAAGTGCATAATAGATGGGAAAACATTTTGTTAGAAAAATTGCAACCGTATGATAAGGCACAAGAATATGCTTATAGTGGCACCGTAAAAGTATGTAAAGATATTAGTCACAAAAAAGTGCTAACATTCGTGGCTGAACCATTAGGAGACATTCAAAAGATTTAAGAAGTCCCTCATAATTTCTCTCATAAGAATTCCCTCAATTTTGATATGAATGATATGATAGGTGGAATGATACTACATTCTTTTCATCATTAAATTTACATACATTATTTGTTGCCATATTCATCGTTTTTTCACATCGACATGTCTATCCTTTATCCTTTCATTCGTTACAGTTGTCATGAAGAAGTTATAAAGTTGGCAAGATATTCTGAGTCAACAAAACCACCGGAAGTGCATACTCACGGTTAGTTTTCTTTTTCTGAATTTCATGTTGCTCGTAGTGTAAAATATTTAATAAAAAAAAACGATAATGGAATAATTAATTAAACAGTTATTTCCTGTTATTATTTGCTCTTTTACTGAACAATTTCTTCGTCTGTGTAGACAAAAAACTTTGAATTGTTCTGGAAGGTATGTCATTGTAGTGGCTAGCAATATATCATTTGCTATGAGACGGTAATGCACTTAATTATTTTTAAATAATAATGGGTCGTTGTTACGCTTATAGCAATAATTTACTGCCGATGCATAATATATACAGTTGTCACATGTTTATTAATTGACTAGTGCAGTGAGTGCTACTCCAGGAAAAAGATGGCTGTTAAAAATGAAACCAAGAAAGGCAAAAAAAATAATGAAGTTTCGATTCTACACCCTTTCAAGTTATTCATTGTATCGAGAAAATCTACGGCTAGTCAGATTTCCGAAACGGTTTGTTATGATTTTAACCACTTGTGATGTCCTGATTTTTTTTATTAAAATGAAGTTGCGAGTATTTAATAATTATAAAGATATGTTTGCAGGTTGACATCATCAGTTAAGAGGAAGAGGATATGCTGTGGACATCAATGCATTCATGATGCTTTAGTTTCCAGTAATTGTTCATTATCTGAGCACATCAGAAAATGCTCTGAAAAATTGCTACGCTGGAAATGGCTATGCAACATTACATCAACTTTTGCTTTCATCGCTCTTTTGATGGCTTTTATAATACGCGCTGTGGGAGTATTTCTTAACAGAGTATAAGGAAGCGATTTCAGTCAGTTGACTTTTTTTTATCCAACCGCTTGCTAGACCATTGATTGACCCTATTCCACTTTTCTGTGATTACCTGCGCTCAGTAATTGATCTTCGCTCCTTCATTAGTCAAGAAGAAAAAAACGTTAATTGCCACTGCAACATATGTTTAATATCTTTCAAACTGTATCGCTGCTAATTAATGTAAGCCTGTAAGTCTTGTCAAGTTAGTTGCTGATTTCTAAGATATCTAATGCGTACATCACTTATTTGAGCTACCAGTGACTGTTACTGAGTTTGAAATTGTCAGATTTTGTTCAGTTAATTACTGAATAAGATGGTTGGTGTATATTTCATACGTATTTACATGCGTACCATCTGCGTCCTATGAAATAATTGTCGAAATAAAGATAACTGTATTTAGTATGTCTGTGAAAAATAGCAGAAAAGAAATAAGCCAAAGATTGATAGTAAGTGGCTTGAAATTGAACTTTAACTGTGATAACTAACATCTGTAAAACTTGCTCAACGGGAGTTGTTTGATATATTGCCATTGTGTATACAATGACGCAATGATTTATGCTTGTTAAAGAATGCAAATTAAAAGGTATGATTAATTTCAATTCCTCCCCATCATGATTTAAATGAGACAACTTGATTGAACTGATGCAGTTCAAAACTTTTGAAATTCGGTCCCAAATTAAGAACAAACGTGTCATAACGACGAAGTTATTTGTAAACTTCTACAAGTTGTGTATTTACCAGATGAATACTGTTGTTTATCGCTGTATCGTAAAAAGTATATATTAAGTATAAGTGCGTTGCGGGCCTGTCCAATATAAAAAATATTTCATTTATTTATTTATTTATTGTAAAGTTGATGCTGATTTCACTATTCGCATGTTTTTGTTTGCAGGAACTAATTTTTTTTTTGCAAAAAATTTTTGAAAATTTTTATTAGAATATAACATATCCATTACTTTATTTTCTTCCCTTTACTTTGTGGTTTGTGACAATTACCTCATACATTTTCATGTGATCATTTTTAATCTGCAGTATATTTATATAACTTTTGTCATTTAATCTTTGTGTATGTATGTAAATGTGGAAATTATATTTACTTGTCTCAGCGATGCTTGTATTTTATTGTTATGCTAAATTGATGAATCTTGACTTGATGTACCCACTTAAATGCTTCTTTTTTAATAACTTAAGTTTGTGATCTAAAGCTACTACTTTATATAGAAAATGTGGAATGATGAAGTTAAGAGGTTTCATTACAATTCAAATTTTGAACAATCTCTGGCTAATAAAAGTTATTACTATTTGTGAGAACTTAGTGACTAATTAGTGATATTAAGGATTAGAGGAAATAAATAAATATGGTTGGTTCAACAAGTCGATCTTGAATTTGTCTGGAAAAATTTGGTTTTCATACAAAATTATTTATGCGTTATGTAGTAAACAAAATCGTGCAGTTATTTGAGGTGGACCAGCGTATCGTGAAAGAAATAAAATTAACAAATTGTCTTAGGGGTAAGTAATGTCAAAAGCAATGCGCAGAATGTATAATGTATTTTGTGACACTTCTTCCAATATTCTATAATGACAGAGTGTTTTTTACCATTCAATAAGATAATTTGAAGCGAAATAAAGATAACTGGGTAAAGCAACGGTGTTATAATTTGAAAAAATGAAGAAATAATTATTTAAATGTTTCTAATACTTTTAACGAAATATTCTATTAAATAACGAATGCGTTTATTTAAAAATTATTTGAAAAGGTTGTTGAGAAAAGCTGCTAGGAATTGAATTTTACTATTTATGTAGCACTACATCATAGTTCTAATTATAATAAACTTTAACATCATAATGTTAAGTTAAAAGCAATTTCAAAAATGAATTTCCTTTTTGTAGAATTTGCTTATTTATAATAAATGAATTTGAGATTTTATGCTATTGCTATTTTATTGATCGAAAAATTCACAAAATTTAATTAAATCATTGGAAGCATTAGATTATAATACCTAGTGAATGAATTTATTTCCCAATCTTATTTTAGAATTTCACCTGACAAAAACCTGTTTCCCAGGTTGTCAACATATTTGTCATATTCAGGTGTTGAGAGAGATTATCTTTAATGCTGGTGACTATAGCAAAAAATGGGCATTTTTCAAACGCTGATGGATTCTCTTTACTGGACGCTGAAAGATGTTTCATTTTTTTTCTCTTCTCTCGCCAATTGTTCAATATTTCTTCCCCACTATATCGTTCAAATAAGTGAAATAGCTCCACTATTTGTTTTTCATTCTACTATGACTTACAAAAATTCATTTAAGTTTTATTTACTTGTTATTTACTAGTTATAACTTATCATAGGTGAAGAAAGAAAGTTATTGTAAAGAAACTTCTCATCCACAAGTTTCAGCTTTTAAGCAATATAATGTCTTTTTAAAAAACTATTTCAAAAATTTTTATTGTCTAACTTTCACCTTGACTTTCAAATAATTTCATAATTACTCGACATAATTTACGAGTCACTTTGACTCTACTTTTCAAAATATATGACAAAGGAACGTGTCTAATACTATATACTATACGCAGTTCGTCATTAGAAAATTTAAAAAAGATTAAATGGCAGACTTTGGCTTTACATGTTTAATGAACAGCAAAATAGAATCTTAAGTTTCTTTCTTGTCATGTTAGAAGTAAAATGTTTTTTGTTTAATTGGGACTAAATAAAATTTCGGGTCACTTTAAAGAATGAAACATCGAAAAGCGTTTAGCTTTAATTTGTTCTGTCGAATTCGCTTATTATAATTTTTAAAACTGCTAACTCATCCAGCTTCTGAATTTTATGGATGGGTGAGAAAGTAAGCAACAGATTTAGACAGCCAAAGTCAAATAACACCTGTCTTCATAAATATTTTATATTCCTAGTTATTTGAAGTGACTAATTGATGGGAAGGCGATGTTCATCTGTTAAAAGCTTATAAAAGTTTCTAATTGAAATTGGAAATGAGATACCATTAGGTTCACTTCCACCTGCACTCATTTTGGATGACATGAAAGGAGATAGGATTAGAGAGGTTAAGAAAGAGAGTAGAAAATGTGAAAGAGGAAGAAAGGGGGAAAACGAATGCTTTTCATGTACTGGTAACAGAAATAATAATAATGTTAGGGAAGGAGATAAGTAATGGAATGTTTATCAAACGATGAGTGACGGACTTTACATAATTGCCTTTATCTCAAATTAAATTATGATGAAGTTGACTGCTATGTAGGGGAATGCATATGCTTCATCTTCTATACATATGGAAACAATTAATGAATGTCACAGATAAACTTTTTTGCTTTTCAGTGCTTCTTTTCCTTGTTCTTTAACAGATATGTTCATTTTCACTTTTTCACAGGTTCTTCTGAGTATTTTCCTCCAGTTATTAGCACTTTCGGTGTCATCAGAAGTTTGTATTCCTTCCTGTTTCGCTGCATTAATTTACCTTTAATAAATAGGTTTGAAATGAATGCTTTATCTAGTAGCATAGTTGAATTTTTATTTATTTTAAACTTATACCAAAAAGTTACGATAATGTCAAGAAGTTGATTACATTGGCTGGTGTATTTTTCATTTTTGCTGTTTTGTTTATTTCTATGAAGTTGGAGATTCGCTTTGTCTAATAATTTTATTATTTTCAAATTTTCTGACATTACTATATTCTTGTCATCGTTTTTAATTTGTATCACAAATAATCGAAAATGTCTCACTGGGTCTAATTTTCACTTATTATGAGTCGATGCACTGAAATGTTTTAATTTATTTGAAATGTTTTAATTTATCCCAAATTTATATATTTTATACAATCGAATGTTTAAACTGCAAAAATCTTGATCAATACGGTCAACACTAGAAAAAAAATTTTACGGATAATAGTTGCTGAAGTTTTCAGATGGTCGCCAGTTGTATGACTTATTGGAGTGTTGCTTACTTGATATGTTGCTATGTTGCTTACTTATGATTGTGTTCTTATTTAATACGTTGCTTACTTATGAATTTCCTGTGTCCTGTGTCACTGTAGACGAATATATAAAAAACGGTAACTTACGAGGATTAAGAGACAAGTGCAGAAAAACCACTATCCCGAATTCATCAGATATCACTTATAAATCAAGCAAAACTTCTAAATTAACTGTCAATCGGTTAAGCTCAGAAATATTCTGTTAACTCAGAATCAATTTCTCAGGAAGAATTATTGTTGTCATTAAATTTAGCTACGCCATTTCCTATGTTTGTTTGTACCATCGCATGATTGAGTGCTGCAATGGAAATGGATCATTATGGTCTTCAATACATCGTGATAGTGTCATTTCATTCCCATGTTATAATGAAATCGTTCCTTGTCTATACTGAACAGTTAGGTTTTTTTTTTCAGCCCATTTAAAAGCCAAAATTATATTTCTTTCCTAATCCCTTCAAGGGTAACTATATATAAATCCGCTATTTATTAGCTCCCATTTATTGGAAGTGATAAATTAGATAAAATATGATAAATTAGATAAAAATAAATTAGATAAAATAGTGATAAATTAGATAAATTAGATAAAATATGGCAATTGATAAATTAGATATTATACCACAAAATTTATTCCCTGAATTTATTCCTTCATTTTGGCTTTTAGATGGATTGAAATTTCTTCAAGTATCAAGATTCTATGACTAGATTCCAGATTTTTTAGTAGTCATCAAAAGATAAGAAACTCCATCAAGGAAACAGATTTTTCTCGAAATCTGTTTCTTGATTATATTCTCCGCTCCATAAGCAAAGCTACCTAATCTTCCTGATATAGCAGCCAACAAATGTTTCATGCTGCAAAGAAATTTTAAAAAACAGTGGAATGGCTATCACAACTATCTTTGTAAGTTCTCCAGGATAACTAATTAACGTAGTATTTATAAAGTTAACGAATAACTGTAAAGTTAACGAATAACTTCGAGCTGACCACCGCAGCTCGACGTCATTCGTTAACTTTGGAGTGCAAAACCGCTTACATTCATCAGGCAGTCCCATATTAAGAAAGGGATCCGTCCACAACCATTTTAACTATCCAGACTTGCCTGCTTGTCAACGTTAATTAGCTCATTCCCTCCCCCCCTTTCCTAATAACTGTATTGAGAGCTTTAAAGCGACCAACAATGTAGCATCCCGTATGCTGAAGAATCTAGGAAAGGCCAGAAATTTTCTACATTTTCGATTCGCTTGCAGAAAAGGCAACAAGCTCTTCACACTCCTGACGATTTCTGTGACCTCCAAGTCGAGAAATCTTTTTTATCCTACCAAATCTTCACTCTTTACACTACTGACTGCAGCTCCTATTTACAGATGTATTGAAATTCTTCTGCAACTATTTACAGGTAAATGACGAAAAAGTAGAACAACGAACAATACGTATGACAGTAATAACAATAGCAACGTGGACATAACGCCAGCAAATTACGATAGAGCTATAGAAGAATTCAGTCACTAACCCATTCAATATATTTCATGATTATTTCAAACGGCTTCAGAATATATATATATACATATTGCTATATTGCTGTATAAATTTTCCTTGTTGCGATTTGTTTTATGGATTTTATTAAAATTGATGCTTTAAATGAGATATTTACTAAAGTTTCATTTAATTTTCCTTGTTGCGGTTTGTTTTATGGGCAGTGAGTGCTCTGAGATTTGTGGCGCTAATTATGGATTTATGTCTATTGTTTTAGAATTGACTTCTTTGGAGTATTGAAAATGCTGATCTTTGAATTACTTATTAGGTTCGTTTTTTAGTTTTAATTTAAAATGTTTAGTTGTGGTCTAAAAGATTTATAAATTTAATATTTTTGATTTTATAATACATGACTGTAACATAACAATTTATTTGCTACTAGAACAATACCTGACAACTATGAACACCAGTGTTGATAACATTTAAAGAAATAATGTTCCAATATGGATATATGCTAATACTGATTAGGATCCGACACTGGACGTTCACTTTTTTTATTCATCTATAAAAAATATACGTGATTTTCATGAATATCAAGATGGAGATTTCAGTTGCCAAGGCTGGCTACAAGTAATATCGAATTCCGAAAGGAATGCTAACAAAGAGATGATTTTTGAAGACAGTTTATGGCCATATTTTGGATGACCTTTGTGTAAAAAGTTTTAAAAAAATAAAGAATTGAATAAGCGTATCATATCACATACCCTGTTTGTACCATATACCTGTAGGATGTAGAAGTACAATATGAACGAACGTTCAAGTGAAAAAAAAGGCTGCAAATGGAAGAGGAATTAACAAATGATCACAAGGCAATATTACAGAAGAGCAGAAATTCAGCACAACCAATATTTAATATAAGGGGAACAATTTTCCTAATGGTTTACATAATGATTGCATATTTGTGTTGAGAAAAAAAACTAGAGCTTGCAAAGAAAATGGTTAGCTCAGAGGATTCATTAGTTCAGGTGCAATCAGGTAACACTAGAAAAACGCAGCTAGCATTTTACTGCTTCTTTTTGTCAATTTTGTATTTCGATTTACCACCACCGAATACATAAGCTTTGCAGAAAAAGTTGACGAAAAGAATCAAATAAGTAACATCCATGAAGAGCGCCAATTTGAAAATACTGTCATCGAAATCACAGTCGATCTAAAAATCTCCTTCAAATTTGGAAAAATGTCCAAAAAACACGGGATGTAAACCTACACCAAAAAGTCTTTTGAATTTGAAAAACTGGAAAGAACCAAAAGTAACAAACCTTCCTGACATAAATTAATATTCCAAGGTGTGCAAGTATCAATACACTGAGTACAAATTGTAGAATTTGAAGTGATGTTATGAACACAGCGACACCACGTGGAATTCGCATTTTCATGGAACAGAGAAAGTAGTAGCTAAAAATATGATGAAATAAATACGGCAATATAGCTGATATATATATATATATATATATCAACTATATTTTTTTAAGATCTTTATTGATATAAGATCTTAAAAAACAAACCACAAAAAACAAACGTACACGACATACCTGTACATAAAAGCATGTACGAAGAAATTCATGAAAATGCCCCAACGGTTAAATGCAGGAGTGTGCGGATAGGAGTAAAAAGCATAAATGAGTGTGAGAATGTGGTGGTACCAGTGAAGAAACATAAGTGGTTTCTTCCGCAAAACTAAGAATACCGTATCAGCCAATTCGAATAGCTTTGATACAATGAACAGCCAACCCCAGAAACCGTTTGATCCCTTGGTGAAACCATAAACCTTACAGTAAGAAGCTGCAAACATAAAACAAGAAAACAATGTAGCATTTTAATTGAATCCCATGCACCAGATAATTTCCATACTTTGTGGCTTCGCGAAACAACGATAATACCCAAATTTGTCAAAATATTTAAGAATTGTTAAAGGAAATATTCCAACAACGTTTCAAGCTATAATAATTATGAGAAAAAACCTTGAAAACCATTATTCTGAATAGTCCCAATAAATTCTGGAAAAAGCATAACGGTCCCCATAATGCTGAACAGTGCAAGGAGCGCATTCCAAATGTTCAGTGGCAGTGTCAAATCAAAAGGTGCCCGATTTCGCATGACAACATATTTTATTCCAAAGATAACAAAAACGTAGGCAAAGCACGCCTAAAATATGTCGTATATTAACAGTTAGTTTGCGTAATCCGAAAAAAATGTAGTCTCCAGCAATAAACTTCCTAATAACTGTTAACGAGCTGCGAAATTAGAGGTTTAAGTGCTATATTCCTATGTTCCACTCCGATCTGAAATATAAAGGCGAGTATTAACCGGTCTCTTTGACAGCTCCAATAAACTGAATACATTGACATTAATTTTAAAAACGTTCTTCTGATAACAAGAGACTGAGAATTACCTGTACAGCGAAATTCTGATGTTGTAGAACCCATTCCTTAGATTCCTGCTCCGGAAATATGGGTGAGGTGATAATTTCAACAAATCGCTGAACATTTATTCTCGGTGCAGCAAGAACCTGCTCCTGTGCTACCATCTGAGACACCGGTATGGGCCTAGAACCACCGCGTGGCTGAAAGCTAAACTGCAAAATATTACACAGATACGGGCGAAAACTCAGCCAAACTTCAGTGACAAACCCGCACTCCAACCCACAACATCAAATCATTCCTGACTAAAACAGTACTTCCGTGCTTTGGATGGGTGCCAAAAGTTTGCCGCTTCAAGACGCACAGTAAGAGGTTAAGGGGTTGCGTAATAAGGGATGGTGGTGGGTAATTGCTAATACTATCCCATATACTAGGGACTTTGGGATGTAATACTGCCGAGGTAGTTTATCGGTGGACGTCGACTTACCAGTGTACAGTGATAGGGCGAGGTGGTGGTGCTGCTGGTTACACCGCCAGTAAATAATGGATGTGACGAGGGTGAAACAAACTGAGGGCTAATTGGAGTGCAACGCGACGTAACAGAGAAGAGCAACAAGGAAAATGATGAATTTTGAAAGACTGAAATACTACCTGTATTTGTTATCAGCCCGACTGATATAGTGGGCGGGCCGATAACGAAATCGGTGATCGTTGAACCACTGACAAAAGGAGCAATAGATGATGAACTGTGATAGGAAATTTGTGAAGGCCAAAGGCAAACATGGTTCCACGCTTTCTTTAATTCACCTCACTCGAACTTCTTCCACATTTATCTGGAATTTATTTGTGGACAAGTCAAATACATGTGCTTGTCAACTTACTTGCGGTAAAATCATTATTTGCAATTCAGGTCATGTTGACAATAATATGATTCAAAACATCGCACTAAAAACTGATTTCATTTGTTATCACCTTGCTGTTTTGGTGCATGTCTTTTGAAATTAGAATAAAATTAAGGAATAATGTGCTAAGTCATGAATTACAACGGCAAATGAAAAATGCAGGTGGAAAAAATTTAAATCATTGCAAATCCCGGGGAGATACCAATCAAAAATGAGAAAGTGAATTAGTTTCAAACAATTTTTCTGATATGTATTAATGTTGTGAGTTAACTTTAAGCAATGTAACGTCATCGTTGAATTGTTGAATGTTTTCTTGATTAGTTTGCTGTAAATATCCTGAACTATGATCAATCAGGTTAGAAGAGGTATTGTTAATCTGTTGTTATCGGCATTCGCGGATGGAACCAGTTTCAGTTTTAGGCTTCCATAGTTTCGAAGATATAAAATTCCTGCAATTCTTGATCATAGTTGTGCCGAAAACCATCGGTATCTAAAGTGCTCAAAGCGAAAATTTCTTCATTTGAAATAAAGATCATATCTTCACAAAAAAGAACTTTTACAACAGCGAAAAAATGCTGGTAATAACGCATGAATATTTGTTTAATTCATAGTGCCTCTATCTATAGGCAACGTAGCTTTCTTCAATTTCCTAAGTGCTTTTTAAATTCCTTAATTGAAGTTAGGTGTAGCCAGAAAAAAAGATTGCCAATTAGAGAAATTAAAACGAAAAGCATAGTACTCAGTACTGAAAGTGACATCCCAAGCAAAAAACGTTTCATGGTTGCCAAACGCAACATTCACAGCACTACGACGATTGCGATGATGAGTGTGCGTGAGTATGCATGTGTGTATATGTATGTATATGTGCGAGTGTGTATGCGGTCAACACAAGTATACCGTAAAATGTACGATGCAGTGCAGCTAACCTGTTGCAGTAGTCGTTCGCTCTAGTGTCATTTACCGTGGACACCTAGAAATGCTGCAGGCACTTCACACTGATAATGGTGGTTCGTCAACCTTTCAAATACAGGTAAATTTATCGTTCGAAAGTGGTTGCCTCTTCCAGTAGTCTTTTTATCCATCTATCCTTTCTTCTTCAGTGTTATACCTCCACACATTGCTTTACTCAACTGAAGGTTGTCTTGGGAAAAAAATATTGCAATAAGCAAAAGAACTCTGATTTTCTTGTAGATGAAATTGTAAAACATTCATCACCATTTATATGGATAAAGTGGGTATTCTCTTACTGAAATTGATATCCTATCCGGGGCGGGGTAGGGGGATAAAGGACGCGATTTATACAGTGTGTTAATCAACTTCCAGAAGTTGCTAGGAATTATTACGGCTGGATTTACTGACAAAAGTCAGGTCGTATAGGAAATATTTTGCTGTTTTGCAAGTGGTAGATGATTTGTGAAGTAGCACGGTGCATTATCCTTAAAATTTGGTAGGATATCAGATTGCCTAAGAGGATCAGTGGCAATAGGAACGAACGCAACGCAACTCAGAAATAGTCATCTTGAAGGATATTACTGAAGTGTGGAAGCAGTCGAAGTATTTTCCAGCATTTCGAAATGTTTTTGAGTGCTGTTGTTGACCTATCAGTACAGCATCTGACGCAAAACTTAATTTTCGACCGTTTGTTCGTAAGAATATCAAGCATTTCGCTCCACATTTCACAGTCTTTTCCCGCTCTTTCCATTCGTATTTTTTATATAACTTGTTGGAAACACTTTGTCGAACTTATTATTCTCAAGTTGTAATGTACTGGTTCTCTCAAACATTAAACTTCAAATTTTCTGTTCAACGAATCTGTCTTCAAAGATGCCGTTATCGATTTCGTGAATATGGAAACTCGAAGTTCACGAAAAATAAGGGAAAATAGAAAGGAAAATGAAAATGGAGACGTCATTATGAACTCACAAAATCTGTTTTAGATATAATTATTGAACAATTTGTTATTTACAGATACAATCCTTTTGCTAAATTCGTTTGGTTGAAAAATTATACATTATTTCATTTCTGGTTTGCTTTGGGAAATTTTATGTGCTGAAACTGCAAAAATTTTTACTGAAAAATTAGTGAGGTATTCTTAGTTTGAAAATTTTCTGAAACAATTGTTGGCTGACAAGTCCATTATCGCTATTCTTAAATTGGTAAATTAACGCTTTGTTGCACTAGCGATTATAGTAGCCAAATTTTTATAAACAGAGTGAAAGAAATAGATGGATAGCTTGCTTAAGACTCGAATTATTAGTCTTTCAGTTTTCATGCAAATCATTTTATCCGACTGCAGTCTAAGGCTCTATGAAAAAAGCAATTAAAGCTTTTATGCGATGCATCTTTCTAGCAGGAAAACCAAACTAAATTGGGTTTTCTTTGTTGTTACTTTACTCCCTAACCCACAAATTGCGCTTAAAAAGAAAGCCAAATTGAGGCTATCTTATTTGTTGGTCTGTTTTACATGTAAAATGATCTCCCTATTTTTTATTAGCAGAAATTACTTTCTGGAAAATTCGGTACCATGAACTCGAAACTCTGACAGGTTCACTGTTCAAACATCTGAAGTTGTTGGGGAGAAGAGCATCTTTTAAATAATTCCCTTTACATTAAAACAGAAAAGTGGAAATATTCTTACAGTAAAATCCAGTCATTTTATTTGTCCTTTGGTAATAGAAATTAATTGAAAACTGATCTTGTTCTGGAACTATACTTTTTATGATCTTGAAGAGAATGGATCTGAAATTATATTATTACCATACAAAGTGAACTCATCCGATTGATAGTGGGTATCAGTAAGTTACTGTATAATGAAATTATTGTTGAATTCTACAAGCTAAAGTAATCAGACATATGTTTGTGTTTGAAAGCCAATAGTGCACTTAAAATAACTGGAAAGCAATTCGCAAAATTTGTAACAGCGCCTTTCACATCATTATTCTCACAATGTTTGGAATATTGTGCATCTAATTTGCATGGGAAACTTCTTGTTTTATAGATGGTTACCATATGTTTGAACCTATTATGATAGGTAACAACATCGAGTAAAACTGCTAGTTGGCGCTTCCGATCTATAAACGAAATTTCTGGAAGTTCTTATATTATTTATTTATTTTTAAAGTGATTGTGTCGAAGTTTCTTATTTTCCATTCGTTCTTTCCGTATAAATGAAATATGTTAATAAAGAAAAATTATTCTAGGAGAAAAGAGTAATGGGATTTCTTTCTGCAATCAATTACTGCGGTTCATTTTCAGAAACGCCTGCTAATGGAAAGCCTAAACATATATATATAAATATGCCTTTAGTGCAACTTGTCAGTCATTTTTCCTTCTTTAACAATGTTTTATTTGAAAAAAGTAAAATGCTGTGTAATGATCATATTCTTGTATTTGCTTCCCATTTTATTTTGTCTTTTAAATTTATTCAAGTTCCATTATTTTCCGAACTTCCCATAATGTGAGCAAGCAATTCAACGTAATATGTGACATCGGAACGCTTTCTTAATGACAAAATCTTTAAATCGGGAAAATTGCAAAATGTTAGAGTTCTTCTACTACTACTACTACTACTACTACATTCGTCGAAGCGTGCGGAAATACACCAGTAAATTTTTCATTTTCATCCGATAGAACTAGTTTCACTTGAGTCCATGTCTTCAGTACCTGAGAGTCTCATCTTATTAATCCCAAAAATTTAAGTAAGGAATGTTTTCGAGAGTTTCATCACTAAGTTCCAATGACTGGAATATAAACTTCCTAATTTTTTGAAAAAAATTAACAGCAAACCAAGACTTTTGGAAGTTATGCTTTCACTGTCAAATAGCATATCAATAATTATTTCACTCTGTCTTCTGAAAAGTTTCACCAATTATTTCACCCAGTTAATGCAAATTCTTACAAAATCTTCAGTTTGATATTTACTTCAATCAGGAAATAGCTCGTTGACCGCACAATAAATTTCTTTTTATTTGACAATAATTATCTCTTATTTTCATAGAATATACTTTTTTGTGTTTAGTGCACTTCAGTTTGATAGGTCCTCTATATTTGCATAATTAAAAGATTAAATCTTTTAATCATGCAAGATTAAGAATTATCCCCTGACGTGGTTCATTTTGACGGTGACAGTGAGCGAAAAGCTAGCATTGTTAACGGTAAACTAAATTGTAGCCAATGGAAAAAAAAAACGGTCATTTCTTTCTTGACTAAGATATTTACAATGCTTTCAGAAATACCAGTCATACGAGCATAACCTAAGTAATTCC